GGGGGGGGCTCGTATTGTCCCCAGGAATTCACCTCAGAGCGGGGCTGGGGGAACGCAGGCGCTTGGCCCTCGTCCCATGCTGGTCCTCTGGGCTCTGTGGGCATGCCATGGTTGTGCCCTTCCCCTGTGTCTTTGCTGGAGGGGGAAGGAGAAATAAAAGAATAACCCCTCTCGTGGTGCCCGGCGGGGATCTGCCTTTCATTTTCAAGCTGTCCACAAATGGGTTTTGCCGTGCGTTCCTAAATGGAGGCGCCATGGAGGATCACCAAAGGTGCTGCATGGCTCCGGGTGGATGGATGTGGTTTGGGTCACAGTGTCCCATCCTGCCTTCCTACAGTTGATGTCTGCTCTTTTTTTTCCTCCAAAAACACTAAATCTGTATTTAAGAGAGAGGTGTCCCCAACAGGCTCACCTCCTTCCTCAGCCTGCAGGGAAATAATGTTCGTTTCAGGCTGTGAAAGGCAAAATTAGAAACACCACGTGGAAAAGAATCAAGTCTGGGGAAGGGAGAGGGTAGGAGGGGTCGGGAAGGAAGCATTTTAAATAGTAGAAATCACAGATGTGTCCCACAGACCCAAAAACATGGCACTTGGGTGTGTCCCAACCCCATGTGCCCTCATCCTCATGGACAGCCCCCACTTGGCAAACCCACACAGACGTGCAGGACTCGATGATGTGCCTGGAGATCTTCACCTTTTTCTCTCCGTGTCCCTTCTTCAGCCCATTTGTGGGCAGTATTTATGTGTCTTCATTCATTATCTTTCATAGAACCATAGAATCATAGAATCATAGAGTCGTAGGATCATAGAATGGCTTGGGTTGGAAGGGGATTCTGTCTATATCTATCCTTGCCTTTTATTATTATTATTACTATTTCTTTATTTGTCATCAGTGCGATGATTACTTTTAAAGGAGATGTCATTAAAGAAATAATTATAAAGGAGGAAGGGTAGGCTTTTTAAAGATTTTCCCTGGGAAAAACATAGAAAAAAATCACTTTCCTTGCCAGTGCTGGCACCTGTGGAATTTATTTTCTCCATTTTTTTCATTTCTTTACTGAAAGCCACATTCACCAGGGGAAACAATCTCACTCTCCAAACCTCAGGCTTCCCAAACGCTATGAATACATTAAATGCAACACAAAAAGAGCAGCAACCCAACATGCAAATGAAATTAAAACTCCCTTTCCGCAAGAGGGAAATAAACAAACAAACAAAACCCCCACAGCTTATATATACACACAAAGAGGAGAAATTAAAAGAGACTTAACAGTTCCGAGGAATTTGGACGGTTTTCAATGGCTTTGCTGAATGGGAGCTGTTAAATGACATCAGCACTGAATTTCGGCCATTTCTGGAAAAGAGAGATTTTCACGAATCATTCATTAACCGGAAAGTCCTTTCAAGTAGTTCCCACTTCACATATTTTGGACACAGTAAATATCAGGAAAGGCAATCGTGGCACCGGTTATCGATGTTATCTATCTCCATAGTTTATAAGTGCTATCTCTGGAGTGAGTGACACAAATTTGGTACACGGCCACAGCAGACTTCAAGCTTGGGAATCCCTCTAATTGAGATAGCACGATTACAAAGCAACAGCAGCATCACAGAGATGGGGTGTGTTCTCAGGCACCCAGGCCTTGGCTTTGCTTCATGTGTGCCCATAGGGAGGTTTCAGCACAGGAATGTGACAAACATACACCCGTGTGCTGCATGGGCAGCATGGCCAGGAGTGATACCTGAAACCCAATTAGGGCTGAAGAAGTCGTTAGCTTCGCAGCACGTGGGGGAAGGACCCTAAAGGTGCTTGTGGAGAGAAAGAAAAGAGGCAACAGAGAGAATAAAACAGCAATTAGAAAGGAGAGAATGAGCTGGGCTGCTGAACCACAGATCTGCAAATGGACACACAAATTTTTTTTGTTCTGCTTTTCTCACTGGCTGAGTGAAAAGTCGTGCAGGAAGGATAAGATCAGCCCTACTTAATGACCAAGGTTCAGTCTCTCTGGGTTAAGGCCAGTGCAGATTCTTCAATTTTAATTCAGTGAATTCTGATATTCACCAAAATTACTGAAGTATATTCCTGGGAAGGAAGCAGGCATTTCCTTGAAAAGGTGTGGCTTTAGGACATAGTGCAATCACAAATTACCATTCTTTCCAAAATTATGCAATTCCCGTGCTCCATCAGTGCTGCTGTAACAAAACAAAAACCACATGTAGGACAAGGCAGGGATATGGAGATGCTCAGCAACTGCGTGGCTCTTAATCAAGGTATGAGGTGGCTTCCTCCTTCCAATGGCTGAGAGGAGGGAGCTGGGAGAAAATCAGGGAGAAAACACGAGGGCTGGCATCCAGCTGTGTCCAGCTTGACAAAGGCACATCTTACATTTGACATGGGGTAGAAGATTGGAAAAGAGAGCAGATTGTGTTGGCATTGCTGGGTTAGCTAACCATTAGGGTAGGTACCCCCGAAAAACTTCAGAAACAGAGGAAAAATAAAAACTCATGGGAATTTTGGACCTCTCTGCCACTGCAAGGTGCCCAATGGGAAGTGCACAACAATCCCCTCAGCTTTTGCTGCAGAAAGTTGATATCCAGCCTTGTAGCCTTCTATGACATCATAACCAGCTGGGTAGTTGCGTGGAGAGGGTGGATGTTGTGTACCTTGACTTCAGCGAGATGTTTGACACTGTCTGCCACAAGGACAGGTGTAGGGCTCTGCACCTGGGGAGGAATGACTGCACACATCAGCACATTGCAGGAGCTGACCTACTGGAAAGGAGCTCTGTGGAGAAGGACCTGGGTTTGACCCAATAGACAACATGTTGACCATGAGTCAATTGGCTAACACCACCAGTGGTGTGACCCAAAGGGCACAATATGGAACTGATATCAACCAGAGGGTTTTCATTCTGCAAAGAAAAGCAATAGAAGACTACAGGCAGCCCCATGGGGTCAGGATGCTGAGCAGGAGCCTTGCGTGTGGCTGAGTTTTTACCATCCTCTGACACCCCATGGCATCAATCTGGCAAGTTGGACAAGTGCCCGGAGAGGGAATGAGTGTTTTGATTTGAGGCTGGGGCAGATGTTGGCTATCTATCTGCATACATTTTGCCAAGTCACTCAGCAGCCTTCCCACACCTCTGCATGCAGAGGGGTTCACAGCATGGCCATCCCTCCAAAGATATTGTATGGCAGTAGGGACACCAAAGCTTCAGAGATGCTCCCACACCAAGGTGGGATGCACAAATTGCAGGTTAGATGTTACGCACTCCTACTTCACTACAACCCGAAATGTGAGCATTTTCAAGCCCTTGGGTTCTGTCCAAGCAGACTTTTAATATTTTTTTATTACTCTTCTAAAGTATTTTTATTATTATTTTCCTTATTTCAATGATACCACAGCATCAAGCAGTTCCCCAGACAGGAGGCTGACACGATGGCTATGCACCTTTTGCACTGTGCTCACACCCCTCACTTTCACCCTAATGGAAACCCAGATGATCCATCCTCAATACAAATGCTTTTCATACCACGGACTCTCCTTCCCAGCACAGAGAGAAGGGCAGAGCCAGGCCCTGGGGTGCTGGGCGTCCCCATCCAGCCAGCTCTGAGCCTTCTTGGCCAAGCTTAACCAATGTCCCATGCTGCTTCTTCACCGCCACCCCCCAAACACACTCTTTTTTTTTTTTTTTCTCCCCCACTGCATTTTTCTGGCATTTCCTAACGTGTTTTTTCTTGCGTTACATTTCTCTGCCTGATGAGCAGCAAATCATTATTAATTCCTCAGGTATTTGCTCTAATACATTTAACCCCCTATGCGCCATACTTCAAGCTGTGCTTCCCAGAGAACCCCCAGTCTCCATCCATCCCTAGTACTCCATGGTGGTGATCAAAACCAATCCATGGGCAAAAAAATGTGTGAGAGAGAGATCCACTGCTCTCCAGGCAGTAATTAGAATCATAGAATCATTAAGGTTGGAAAAGATCACTAAGATCAAGTCCAACTGCCAGCCCATCCCCACCATGCCTACTGACCACGTCCCTCAGTGCCACGTTTACCCTTTCTTCAAAAACCTCCAGGGATGGTATTTGTGAAAGGCCATTCATCTTTGCTGGACATGGATATTTAAAGACTCTGTAAATATCCCATCCTCTTTTTCTGAGATTTTTAAGGGATGGTGTCCCTGGCTTCATGTCTACAAAGTTATTACCCTGCACTGTCCTCAGGAGGCAACATCTAAGCACTTTGGAGTGGAAAGTCCTATTTCTCTTGGAGAAGCCCCTGTGAATAGATAAGGAGTGACAGAACCCAAACAGTCCCTCGCTATCCAGAAAGGCACTTCTTTATGGTTCCTTGATATTAGAACTTTTCTTAAGTTCTTCAGCAGTGTAGCTTTTCCCTACAAGGTACCACCTATCCGTAGGACATGCACTGTCTTTACACTGTCACTGTAGGCAATTTAGTAGGACACTGCCCTGAGCAATCTGACCTAACACTTGGTTGGCAGCCACTGTGACAGAAGAGCTGGAACTTGAGGTCCCCTGCAACCCAAGCCATTCTATGATGTCACTGAATGTTGCAGGGCGTTGTGATGGGAGTTCTCTGAGCATCACAGAGGGAATTTTTCTCTCTGCCAGTCCCTACAAGGGGCTTCAGCATCGCAGCTTGTGGGAAGGAGTCAAGCATGCAATAATACTGTTGAAATAGAAATTGTTGTGAGTGAATGAAGGAAAAAAATGGATAGATCCCCTGCCAGTGGAGGGAGAACATAAAGCCCTTTCAAACAAAACTGCACGGCCCCTCCCAAAGTTCCGCTCAAGGCTGTGACTCACTGCCCCTATTGTGCCAGTGGAGAAACTGAGGCAGGAAGGCTTGCTGGCAGCAGGCAGAAGAACTGCATGGTACACAGCCCTATTGGCTCCCATACATCCTTCTGGAATCACTCTTCACTCAGTGACTTGAGATGTTTATACACATATTTTCTACTGTGGTGTCTGGGCATGCCAAGGCATTCATTTGGTATATGGACCAGCACATCCTTCCCTCCTATGGCTGGGTGAGACAGCAGAGCTACTTCTCTCCATCAGCAAAGCAAGGAGGTAGAGCAGACCTGCTGCCTTCCTGCAGCCACAGTCAGGTATTTAGAGAGCAGAGTGATCTCCTCTGATGGAGAAGGCCTTTGCAAAACTGCTCAAAGAGTGCTAACCTTTTTTCAGCACTATCTACAGCAATTTCTCCAGGGAAATGCAATGCTAAAGGATATCCAATATCCACTTTGGTGTTAACAGTCAAAAGTCTTTCGTCTGTTTCTAAATCCTCAGCTCCTGTACTTATGTGGTGAGCAGGAGATACCTCCACAGGGTGAATGCAAGTTGTCATCCCCTCCCCATAGCACATCTGGGACACTTAGCTACCATAAGAGCTTGGTTTCCTATGGATTCATGTCTCATGGTCTGATAAAGGCTGAAACTGGCAGAAGGAGCATCCACTCACACCTTGTTCCCACTCTGATTTTGGAAAGGGTGTGTGAGAAAGAACAAGGAAGCAGAAAAACAAACCCAGAGAAGTAGGAGAAAAACAAGAGGTTTATAGCTTTCCTTGAGAAAATAAAAAAAAAAAAAAAACAAAAAACCAAAAACTAATGGTCTGAGCTAGAAACAGTGAATCTCAGTCAAATCTGGGCCTGATCCCTCATTGTTCCCAATGCACTGGGAAAAGAGCTCACAACCACTTTGGGAACAACCAGATGAAGAGCAAAACCATCCCAATGCCAGGCTCTTGATCAGACTCCCACTGCAATGGTTTTGCTGCTCTGATTCATAGCCAGATTCTTGGCTGGTAAATCAACAGCTTTGAGGCCACCCTGTTCTATGTCCAGTGGTTCAATAGAAGGACAAGGAGGATTTTCAGCCCTGTCCAGCTACAGTGTGCCTAAAAGGGACCCTGCCCCAAGCCTGGGCATCATTTGTCACTGTGAAAGATGGGGAAGTCCCTGAAAGACTCAATGGATACTGGTCTGAGAGCAATGTGGATTTACCCTGGTATCACCAGAAACAAGAAAGGCTGTCCCTTAGATAAAGAAGCCTGTTGACTTTTAACACCACCTGGGGGGGAAAGAACAAGGAAGCAGAAAAACAAACCCAGAGAAGGAGGAGAAAAGCAAGAGGTTTATAGCTTTCCTTG